TGTGTGGGCCCCAGGGGCGTGTTGCTGTGCTGATCTCGCGGCCCCGTGCTCCACGGGTGCTGTACTGGATCCACGACACGCGGATCTTGCTGCCCGGCGCCTCGCCGGCCCCAGAGCTGGGCCAAGCGGCCGTAGTGGGCAGAGAAGTGCCTGGCGCCGAACCCTCCACACCAGGAATTCTGCCGGTTTGCAGCTGAAGACCTGAAGCAAACTGTCAGTAAAGGATTCACCTGTAGCCATACGGGAAGCCCAGGGGCGAGCGAGTTTGCTTCCTTTATCACGAAACGGCTGCTCTGAGTGTGCAGATTCTGTCTCTGAAGCAGAATGTGTGAGATGGACGTTTGGTTTGTGTAGACTGCTCTTAGATTTTCTGTTCTGGGGTGGATGCCCTTAACCTGTTATTTGTTAGAGAGTTAGAGGTTTTCGATTGCAGGGAAGAAGCATGTCTCTTAGAAATGCAGTATTGTACAGCTTTGTGTGAGGACTGTGATTTATTCTTTCTACATTTTCCAGTGAATACCTGAACTTGTGCAGGTGAAAATGCCCACAGGGTGGGATTAGGGTTACAACTAAAGTGAGTTTGGCCAGTGGTATTCCTGAGAAGGGAGTAAAAACACTGGTTAGTTTGGAGATTGCCTAAATGCAGCTGGTAAGCATCTGTCCCAAGGAGCAGTAAGCAGTGAAACCTGAAAGGAGATTGTAGCCAGGTGGGGGGGTCAGGCTCTTCTCCAGGCAATGGGCATCAGGACAAGAGGACCCAGTCTTAAGATGCACTGGGGAGGTTTAGATCGGACATTAGGAAGAATGTCTTCACAGAAAGGGCGATTGGGCTTTGGAAGGAGATGCCCAGGTAGGTTGTGGAGTCACTGTCCCTGGAGGTGCTTATGGAAAGACTGGATGTGGCGCTGAATGCTCTGGTCTAGTTGACATGGTGGTGTTGGGTCACAGGTTGGACTTGGTGGTCTCAGAGGTCTGTTCCAATGTAATTGATTCTGTGATTCTATTTCCTGTCTCGGCAGCAGTCTGAGTAACAGCAAACATGTGGTCTTTATCTGTGTTTCCTCTTCACTTCTCCCAGAAGGGGTAAAACCAGATCCAACTCTTGGGCTCTAACAGTTTTGTATGCTAATAACACCGTGACTCTAATAGTCCACAGGTGCAGGACCTGTGCTGATGTGTAGGCAGAGATAACTCAAACATGGCTATGTGATACTTAGAAGAAGAAAAATGGGGTGACCTAATTGCAGCCTTCTGGTGCCTGAAATGAACCTATAAGAAAGATGGAAAGAGATATTTTACAAGGTCCTGAAGTGCAGAGTGGCTTCCCACTGACAGAGGGCAGATTTACATTAGAGATTAGAAAGAAATTCTTCCTTGTTCCCCTTGAGGGTAATGAGGTCCTGGCCCAGGTTGCCCAGAGAAGCCCCATCCCTTGAAGTGTTCCAAGGCCAGGTTGGAACAACCTGGTGCAGTGGAAGGTGTCCTTGCCCATGGCTGGAGAGTTGGAAAGTGATAAGCTTTAAGGTTCACGCTATACCAACCCAGTCACCCAGTGATTTTATGAAAGGAAAATCTAAAGTTTTCTGGTCTGTGAAACCAGGAACTTGTCTGTTCTGTACTGCCCAGCTCAGCTCATGCCGTGGCTTTCTGAACTGCAGCCCCCTCACACCTTGCACTGGAGAGGCACAGAGCTGGATAGAAATGTCCTAAAGCTGAGTGACCTACACAGATTTGTTTGTCTTGGCTCCCTTTGCAACACCTGTGGGATAGTCCATAGGCTGCTTTCTTCCTGCCACTGGTGCTAGAGGAGACATTTCCTTTCCCAGCAAGCTCTGCTAGTGGCACATCTGTGGTGTGGGTTTCCTGTCCTCCATGCAGAAACGCCATGGGTGTTTCTTGATTTGTGCAGAGAGCTGCATTTGTGAATATTCATTTGTGTTGCTTCTTGCAGTTGGTGTATTAGGGAAATCTGTGAAGCTGAAAATCAGGAAAGCAAGTTTGGCCATTCAGAAGTAATCTCTTCCCAACCATACATTCAACTGTAATTTAGAGAATAACGTAACTGCTTACCAGAAGCACAGAAGCAACAAGATTGTTGGATGCTGTGAGCTGGTGAAGTTTTTTTTTCTTTTTCACTGAGTTTGCATGTGTTGCACATGGTGATGGAGATGTTGCCAGCATCCTGCATTACTGTGCACATTCAGTGCTGCTGCAGATAAGGCTGGCTGCTCCAACACACTTCTGCTCATTCCCTGAATGTTTTATTCCTTGGTAGTTGAGGATGTCACATTCCTTTAGAGGTTATTAAAATGTTGGAGGCAGGTTTGTAATGCAGATTTTAAACAATCGCCATGGAATAATTGAAATGCAACATGTTTATAGATGTTGCAGATTTTTTGACAGATGCAGCCCTCACATGGCAAACATCTGGAAGTCAGCTAATGCTCAGCATTTCAGTGCTAAATAGAGAGGTGTTAAATCTATCTCCTATCTAGAGCAAAGAGAGAACTGGTTTTCTGAACTGAGGAGTTAGAAGTGAGATTTGAGACATGGGCCTCATTCAGTGCTGCTTTGAATATCTCTGAAGGGAAAAAGGAGTTAACCAGGATTGAAAAAGAAGAGTTTGCTAGAACTTTTTGTAAAGTCTCTGGAATTACCTAAAGCTTTAACTCCACAGTTTCAGCGATCCTGAGTTAACATTCAAAGTTCAGTGTTTCTTGTTGCTGTCCTGTTCTTTATTTGGGTGTGGGGCTTTTGTTGTCTATGGCTTTTTGTTTTTTAAGTTAGCAAGCTTTCTGCAATTTTTTGCTGAAGGGCTCCCTCACCAACCAAGCGCAAGGACAGGTCTGAAGAGAAATCGAAGGACCGGTCCAAGGATAAAGCAGCCACTAAGGAATCGGGTGAAAAGGATCGTGGTCGGGACAAGACACGCAAAAGACGCAGTGCTTCCAGCGGGAGCAGCAGTACTAGGTGGGCACTTTTATGTACAAAATGACAGCATTTTCGGAAGTCATTAGCTTTATTTGTGGTAGTCTTGGGCCTGTTGAAAACTTGTGTTAGTCACATTGTCTGACTTAAGAGGGTTTATATTTTAGGTATGAATTTCTTGGGCTGCCTGGTGAGCTGTGGAGCCTCAGTCACAGTTGCTCTCTCTGTAGTTGTCAGAAGTTTCTCACCTGTTGTTTTTCTGGGTATTCCACTAATTTTCGTTCTCCTCTTTGAAACAGATCCCGTTCCACCTCAACTTCCAGCTCAGGGTCCAGTTCCAGCACTGGTTCTAGCAGTGGTTCAAGTTCCTCTTCTGCCTCAAGCCGCTCTGGGAGCTCCAGCACCTCACGCAGTTCCAGTTCCAGCAGCTCTTCTGCATCTCCCAGTCCCTCTCGACGGAGACATGACAACAGGAGACGGTCCCGCTCCAAGTGAGTTTTATTTGTTTTCTAGGAATTGCCAGATGTCAGGTTAATTCCATTTAGAATACAAGACTGTGATCAGAACAGATTGTTCTTTGAAGACCATTTGCTTTCTCCGTAACTTAGACATGTGAATTTTGTTAGAATAGGTGTGCTCTGTTTCCTTATAATCCAAACATATGCCCTGTAGGAAGAGAGATTAAAAATCTAATTTTTAAGAGTTTAAAGATTTTAAATACCATTTTTAGAGATGGTTTTGATCGGTGTTTCTTTAGTAGTGTGGGCCTAGATTAGATTAAAGCTGTTCAGTTCCTATAAACTACAGCCATGACTAACAGAAAAGTCAGAACTAAAACCAGGATATGTGTTTATATAAATCTATATTTATATTCTTGTTCATTAAAAAATAATTTTATATTTATAGAATATAAAGAATATTTACAATAATAATTTTTGTTATAATTATATATTATATAATTATATGTGTATAATTATATTTATGAAATATATTTGTATTATAAGAATATATTTATATTCTTAAAAAAAAGAAGGAGGGCAGAGGACGCCCATGTAAGGGTGACATGGGAATCAGACTATCTTAATGCCTGTCTTAATAGTTTTTCCTCTGCATAAGGTGATGAAGCCTGATAAAATGTGCCTAAGGCATTGTGGGGTTTTTAGTGTATCACTCAATTTATGGACTTCAAGATTAGGAAGAAGCATAAATATATATTTCCTACATACTGATGTTTTTACAGAATAAAGTTTCACTCCAGATTTTTTTTAATTGCAAAGGCATTGTGATATGCAGTTAATTTAAAATAGATTTTTAAAACAATTTTGGACCTCTGTAGCGAATGGAAGATGCAAAAACACAAATAATCAAATCCATTCATTTGCCTGGTTGTGGTATGCTGTTTATGGCCCTATTTTGCCTCTTCAGTTGTTGAGGCAAAGAAGTTTTTGTATTAACAACTGAGAAATGCTTTAACTATGACCACAACTTCATAGAAGTGCTTGCTAAATTTTCTGTTTGTTACCCTAGTTGCAGTGAAGCTGAAAAGTTGCAAAAAAAGTTCTCAAATTTCAAAAGTTTCTAAAGCAAAAGCAGACACGACAAATTGAAGTCCTGAGGTGTTTCTGAGTAGAACACCCTCACCACAACCTCAACACTGTAACTTCTTCAGGACAAAGATGCCCTTCAATAAAAATGGTATTTTTAATCAAGTGGGAATGACTGGCTTTGGTTTTGTCCTGCATGTTCCCTGAAAACTGTAAATGTTTTCTGTTGTCCAAACCAGGTCCAAACCACCCAAGAGAGATGAGAAGGAGCGGAAGAGGCGGAGCCCATCACCTAGACCCACAAAAGTGCATGTTGGAAGGCTCACTAGAAATGTGACCAAGGTAATAATGGCATGTTCTCCTGTAGTCAAGCATTCATGGTCTTCTGTGAGAATGTGTGAGTTTTCTCTTTCAAAGCTGTCGGGACTTCTTGGTTGCCAAGATATTGGTATTGTTTCTTTGTGTCCTGGTTGATCAATGAGGAAAATTTTGGTAGGATTTTACTGAGTCAAATACCATAAAGTCTTCTGAGACACCGTAGTGCTTAAGAAGTCTGCCTGTTTTGTCAATATTCCAGACCTTATATCCTGCTTTACTAGGGAGAAAACTATAGAATTTGGGACAGCCACTGAAATTACCTTGGAGGCATAATGAATTTTGGGCAGTTCTTGATAAAGGATCTACAGAGAGCTGGGCTGGCCTGAGTTGTTTTTGCTAGAATGTAGTTTAAAGGTTTTCAGGGGTAAAAGGTTTAGGCTGCTGAAAAAATGATGTGCTATGGATTTACTGCTCTGTGCCAGCTAAACCTGGCTGGTGAGTGTGCTTTGTGTTCGTAAGTCTCGCTCTCTCTTTGCAGGACCACATCATGGAAATTTTTTCCACTTATGGGAAGATTAAAATGATTGACATGCCAGTTGACAGGCTAAACCCACACCTCTCCAAAGGTTATGCTTATGTGGAGTTTGAGAACCCAGATGATGCTGAGAAAGCCCTGAAACACATGGATGGAGGTAGGTGATGACCTGCAAGGAGTCTGGGGGCTTCAAAAAATCTTCAGATTAGATTGATTTGATCAGAAAATGAATTAGAGGTGATAGGGTTGTCTTAGGTGAACTGATGTAAAATACTGTCAGTTTTCAGCCAAATGGCTTTTGTGAGATTCAGGACAGATCCAAGAAATCACAGAACTATTAAAAATAATCTTTTTTTTTTAAATAGTGAAAAAATTAGTTTAAGCTATGAAAACTTTTCCTGGTTTACATCTGAACTTCAGTTTGGTGGGATTAGGTAAAGAAGTCGAGTAGGTGTGTGGACTTTGTCAGAATAGTCCCTGAGCAGGGTGTGGAGCACCATGGGCTGATCCCACTTCAGTTGCTTGCGACAAAGCTATGAGTTGCAGTAATATGATGTGTATATGTTAGTGTTGAAAAATACTTCTCCTTGTCTCTGTGATTCCCTAAAAAGGTCAGATTGACGGTCAGGAGATCACGGCCACAGCTGTGCTGGCACCACGGCCTCGACCCCCTCCTAGACGCTTCAGCCCCCCCAGGAGGATGCTGCCACCGCCGCCAATGTGGCGCAGGTCACCCCCTCGCATGAGGAGGAGGTGAGAGCTGGGACAACGCTTTTCTTTCTCAGTAGCAACTCATTATCACTGAAAGACTTGGCAATCCTGTTGGATGTGACTTTCCCCTGCCAAGTGACAGTAACACATTTTGGCCATCAGCAGGGTTGAACCTGGGTTGCAGTTTCTAACTCCTTAGCTCTAGGATGCCTACTGTGGTCTGTACCCTGAGCACAGTCTCTAGGAAAGGTCTTGTCCTTCCCAGCCTGTTCCCTGGAGTCCCTTCTGCATAAAGGCTTCAGGGTGAAGTGGAAACAGACTCTGGCTGACAGAACACTTGGGGCAGGCTGTGCCAGCTTCTTGTTTTTCAGAGGCCCTTGTACCCCTTATTTCTGAATGGCGTATGACCAAAAAGCAGTCCTGTGTCAGGTGGGTGGAGTACACTGGCCCCAAGGTGTGATCTGAGAGTTGTGCTACTTGGAGCTGCCTGATTGTGCTCAGATAAGTTGTTCTGAGTCTTCAGTGTTTACATGTCTTCAAAATGTCTTGTCAGTAGTAACTTGATTGCTGAACTGCTTTGAGCCACAGGTTTAAAGACGAGCAGTAGTTACTGTGGCACAAGATCCAGGGGGCTTCTTGGTGCTCCTTTAAACACACTTTTTACTGAAGTCTCACAGATGCAGGTTTGCCATTCCTTCCGCCTTTGTTATCTTTCCTACTCCAACTTTCACTGTCCTGTTAAAGCTCTGTTAGTGTTCTGTGCCTGGAACTTCGGTCATGGCAGTAGCTGTACTGCTGTGACTGTTGGTTGGAGTACTGAGAAGCTTGAAGCTGAACTGCTTCTTGAGTAAGATTCCTCTACGGAGCTTCCTTGTAATTTGAAAGGATTTGGATAAATCCTTCCCCTGAATATCACTCTTTTATGAGTCAAAGATGACTTCAGGTGAAGGAGGATCTGATGTAGGACCTGAGCTCATTTTCCTTGATGAAGAAAAATTTCTTGTCTGTTGTTCAGGTATTAATAATTTTTGCCAGTTCCTTAAACAGAGGGGGGATATCCAGAATATTCCTGCTATGTCCTCTCTGGAGCTGTGTTTTGCTCAAGCTCTTTTCCTATGATGTGTGAGGGATTTTGGCAGGAGGCAGGGAAGTGTTTTAAAAAAGTTGGTAGCTGAGGCAACCAGTTATTTGAACCTGTTGCTTGTCTCCTAACAGAAGCTTTCTCCTCCTTCCCTGCCAGGTCCCGGTCTCCCCGGCGCAGGTCCCCTGTTCGCCGGCGATCCCGATCCAGGTCTCCTGGACGAAGACGCCATCGCAGCCGCTCCAGCTCAAACTCCTCAAGATAAAGCAAAAGGACTGGACAGCTTTTTACTTTTTAACTTAAATCCCATCAGGTGGAATATTGTATCTTTTTTTTATAATGAGTCTGGGTGAGGAGGAGTAGGAGGTAATCCTGGCAGTGAATGCAGTGTAAGAGGAGAGAGCATGAGTTCCTGGCCAGTAACCTTTACTGTGAGGCTTCTGGATTCCTGGCATTGTTGAAATTATTTTAAAATGGCTTTGATTTTAAAGGCTACAAAAATATCTTTTCCAGATAGAGAGAGGGAAAGATGTTTCAGCCTCTCTTTCTCCAGTTAGCAGCTGCTGCTTGGTGATTGTAAACGCTTAGCACGCTGTACAGAGCAGCATGTAAATCTTGAGCTAGTTCAGAACCCCAGTGAGTAAGACTGAGCCACATACCTTGATCTCCAGGTGCCAGCACAGGATTTTTCAGGGCAACTGGAAGCCAGACCTGCCTGAGACTTAATTCAATACAGAATTGTTGCTTTATTCCAGTTCCCCGGGATGGTTGATTTCTGCAGAGTAAGCTTTTCTGTAATGCTGACACTAGGCAATCACCCAATAATGGTCCAGCCCAGTTAACATGATACTACAGAGAAGAAGCTGCAAATCCTAAGAAATATTCTGTAGCTGCCCCCTTAAGTGATTTGTTTCACCTTTTTGTTGAGGGTGTTGGCAAAAACTTCCTACTCAATCTGCAGTGAAAGAGTGTGCGTGCTTTTACAAATCCCAAATGAGCGAATGAGCACCAACCCCTTGGAAACTGCAAAGCAGAGAGGGAGGCTTGAAGCCACCATGCTGGCTGGATGAGCTGGGGTTCACCCAGGGAGAGGCAAAGAATTTACCACCAGTTGTACAGTCAATACTATACAGATTTTTGTTTGTTTGTTTGTTTTGTATAACTTTGTATCCTTTTGGGCTATATTGTGTTTGTACTTGTGTAGGACAAGCAGTTATTGAATAAAGCAGTAGGGTTGAGAACGGCTGTGCTGCCTCGCTGCGTACGGCACGCAGGGTGGGCTGTGGGCAAAGTCAGCACTGGGGCCGTGCGGTGAGGGGCCGTGGCCTCTTTAAGGGGGCGGTGCTTGTCCCCCCCTTCCGTGGGCTCATTGGCTGGCGCCGCTCATTGGCTGGCGCCGCTCATTGGCTGGCGCCGCTCATTGGCTGGCGCCGCTCATTGGCTGGCGCCGCTCATTGGCTGGCGCCGCTCATTGGCTGGC